TTGTATGCATAAATTAATAAATCTTTTTTTTTTTTTTAAAAGAGGTTGTGAGGAGTAAAATTCAGGGAATAATGTTTGTGAAATCATTTGGGAAAATGCTGAGCTCTATGAACACATTGTTGTTGGTAATTTTATTGCCATGGAAGAGAGAAAGCACCTTCCACTAGAAGTGGACATCTAGACCCTTGGTCTCAGTGACTACTTGACTTTCCAGCTGCAACACCATGCGAATGGCCGGGACGCTCTGCAGGTATATCAATTTCTTGAAAATCAAACAGTGCTCCTCCTTCCCCCAGGGAATGAAGAGGGAGTTGTCACAGCTCAAGTTTAAAGATCCAATGGGGTGACCCCCTTGCCACAAAGTATCCCTCCATTCACTAATACCTGTGCAGGGGAGGGAGGGGAGGGTGAAACCAGGATGAGGGAGAGGTTGGCCTCCTCCAGGAGTTCACAGGGCTGGAGCTGGGCCTCCAGGAGGTCACAGGGCCTCCTGTTCTGGAGGGTGCTCTCCTCCTCTAGGGCCCTGCTGGGAAGCATCCTGGGGGGCCTGAAGTGAAACTGGTCCCCAGAATTGAGTGCAGTTTCTAACACATCAGTCTTTGTGGAAAGAGGAATTACACGTTTCCAAATAGCAAAACTTATTAGTCAGCTATCCCCATTTCAGATAAGAGGTTAGGGGAGGGAAAGCGAAAATAATATTCAAAATAATTCAATTCAAAATAATATAACTCAGTCTGGGGAGATGTCCCTTTCTGGAAAGGAAGCTCAATCTGCGTGGAGTGAGAGGAAACTAGACAGGGTGTGACATAGGAGCCCCGGCTTTGAGCACGGGACATGGGGAATTTGGACCGAGGGGGAGTGTGGTTCTGAAGGAAGGTCCGGAGGGGGTTATCGCGGGTTCAGGCCCGCGTGTCCCCGGTTCCCCAGCAGGCAGGTGAGGGCTGCTTATGTAATCGCGGGCCTTGCGGGCGACCGGGGAAACTGGAAGGGGGAGCCGGGCGGGGCTGACTGCGAGCTCCTGGAATCCGCGCTCGGGCGTTGGCTCAGCCTCGCGGGACACCGGGGCCCGCCCTCCCGCTGCGGAGCCCGCGCGGGCGCGGGGCGACTCCCCAAGCCTCCTGAGCCCCGCCATCCCCGCGCTGGAGCCCCGCGGCCATCAAGCAGCGCCGCGGGGAGCCCACCGCGTCCGCCCGCCCCAGCCCTGCGGCCGGCTGGGAGGCCCAGAGGGAGGACCAGTCACAGCCCTGGAGCAAACCCGGGTCTGGCCTCCGGGGACATCTTCACTTCCCCTTGACGCTGGATGTCCAAATCCATCACCCCTTTACATTTTCGGGGTCACCCTGGAAACAGGGCGGTCGTTCTCAGAAGGCAACATGAAAAGTGATGGAGATTTTGGTTGCGGGTGGTGTGGTGAGGGTGCGAGGGGAGGATGCATCTGGTCGGGAGATTAATTTGGTTTCTGAGTATAAGAAAGTGAAAAGGCAAACAGATTTGCCTTTGAAAGAAAACTACATCCCCTCCCACTCCAGGCTAAACCAATCTTTGGTGAGAATCGAGGTCTTTTCAGCATTTTTGAAACACCGTCTGGATTCTGAGTCAGATTAATTCCCAGATATTGACCGTGGAAGATCACGCTTAGATGTCTTCCTAGTTTTTTTGAAGAGTCGACTTTCTTTCTATGGGCATTTTCAAATATGCATAAAGTAGAGAAAATAATATGACCATCTTGTGTACCTATCAGTCCCTCTAATAGTGATCAAGTTTGTTTCATCAATTAAACTCCCATCACCACGACCCCCACTCCCTTGTCCCACTATTTCATGTTTTTTCTTCCTAAAGGAATTTCCAGACATCATATTTCATTGGTACAAACTTCAGGGTGCAAAAACCCCACTTTAAAAAGTACATCACTGATGACATCTTACAAATGCACAATTCCTTAAATAGTGTTCAAATGTCTCATACTTTAATATTGAAACACAATTATTTTGTTCAAATCAGAATGCAAACAAATCCACTATTGCATTTAGTTGTCTTATCCTTTAAGTTTCTTTTAATCTGTGTATTCCCTTTCTTCTTTTTTCCCCTGGCAATTTAGTTGATGAAGGAAATGTGTCCTTTGTCCTGAGGATTTCCCCAAACTTGGATTTGCTGATGGCATTTCTGTGGCATTGTTAAGGTGATTCTCATAGATCCAGAACCCTGATGAGTTTCAGGTTCATTATTTTTGGTAAGTTTCCATCAGGTGGTTACCTCCTGTTGTATTACACTGGAAGGCAGGTAATGTTGGATTGTCTCTTTTTGTTAGGATTCATCAGTGAGTTCAGGTGTTGTCAGCCTGATTCATTATTATGCAATTCCCTGACAGCTTTTTACATAATGTTTCTAGCTGCTGTTGATGAGTATTGCTTAGATTCATTATTTCATTAGGTGTTATAAAAGTGATGGTTTTTCATCCTTTATTTATTAGCTGGAGTTTGTAATAGGGAGCCAACCTTTAACCATTTGGTTATCCTAGATATATTTGTACAAGAATGGTAGCATAAATACTGAGTCTTCTCTTTATTTACTAGGGTTCAGAAATTTGGGTGGGTTCCTAGCATCCTCCAGAAGTGACTAATAGTTTACTTTTTAGTTATCATAATGAACTGATGGAATTTTTAAAAATACATTTGATGTGTTTCATTCTACTGCAGTTATTATCCTTATTGACACTAAGTGTTCCACGTTTGATCCTTCAAGTTGGCTCCTGAGTAATTTTTTACATAATCCCAGTAAATTTTCTTACACTCTGGTGTCGCAAGATGTTCCAGAATATTTTTTCCCAGATCTAGAATTAGCCAGTAGTTCTCCAAGGAGCCATTTTATTTTCAGTGGGAAATATTATTTAGAGTGTAAGCAACACTCGCTTAGTTTACCCAGTTTGGCCATTACTGTTAGGTCTTCTTTGTGAACAGAGCTAAAAATTACATTTCGCTATTTTTAGGAGGAAATGCATCTGAATCTATACTGATTTTCCAATTCAAATTTTGGACTTGGTTACTAATAAGGAACACTATGTTTTTATTTCTATTCTTTTTATGTCATCTCCACAAGAGAAACCTAATCTTTTCTTTAGGTTGAAAATCTGTTCCTAGTAAAATTAATGTAATCACATATGTTTGCTTTATCCTACTATGTGTGGCTGTATATATGCATACATATAACATAGTATATGCAGAATGAAAACAATATTATTAAGATTATAATTGAAAATTTTCACGTTAATTGCAATTATCTTTTGTTATTAGAAGTCAAAATACTGGGCCTCCCCTGGTGGCGCAGTGGTTGAGCGCTGGGCTACAAAGCTGCCCACAGCCTCAGCAGCTCTGGTTCAATCCATGGCCACCAGCGAGGGTCCCACATGGAGCGCAGACCTCTCCTGCCACGCCCACTGCTCCCCTCAGCAGTGTATTTAGTCAGTCTGCCTGTTCCATTCCCTGCTCTGGCTCTGGTGAATTCTCTCACCCTCCTGCGCTTCTGAACTGTACCCAGTGCTTATATAAATAAATAAATAAAAATCTTAAAAAAAAAAAAATTCACCTGTACCATTGAACAATTTTGTTCTTAAAAAAAAAAAAGTCAAAATACTGTAGTTGTTGAAAGTGATTCTGGGTATTTAAGCTACCAACCACATACAGATTCATTTTGTCTTGTTTTAATTTTGTTTTCTTTTTTTTAATTTTTTACATCATTGTTCATTTTTAAACAATATTTGCTTCCCCCCACCCCCTCAGGTGTAGTACCCATATAATTTCCTTCCCCAATGCACCCATGCACCATCACCTCAGTCCCCTGTGCTCCTCCCTCACCCCCTTGTTTTAATTTTGTTTTAGAATGATGTGAAACATTTACGTGGTTCCAAATGTTCAAATCAAGGTATATTCAGAAAAGACTAATTTCCATCCCTTTCACTCAGTTGCTTCCCATCTCCAGCGGATGACTGTACTGATAAGTTTTGATTCATCCTTCTCTTTAAAAATATAAACAAACAAATGTATATATTTACATTCCCCTTAGGTAAAATGGCTCATACTATGTGCACAATCCCCCATCTTCATTTTTTCATTTAATACATTCCAGAGGTCATCTTATAATACATGATTTTACTTATTTGCAAAATGAAAAGAAGGTGCAGAGGCAGCTTTAGCTGAGTCTTCTGTAGAAATGATATCCAGGGTCATATTTTTCAAGTCCCCAGGAAGGTAGAGGTACAAATGAGCCACGGTGGCCTTCAGGGTCACGGGGGCTTCAGAAAATGAGATGGAGGAGAAGGGGCTTTCTGGGATTGTTGTCCAGTCCCTGTATCTGCATCTCAACTAGGATGCAGCAGGATGCTTTCTCATAGCATGGTTTTCCACTATTGCAGGTTAAATTACAATTGAGATCTTCCCAGTCTTGTCCTGTTACAAGCAGTGCTGCGTGATAGAGATTATGCTAAGCAAGATAAGCCAGAGGAAAAAGAAAATATCTGATGTTCTCACTTGTAGGGGAAATATAGGGAAACATAACAAAAATAAGGAAAAAAGAAAAACCTTGCCAGTTGACCCTAGATCTGAGGCTTACTGCAGGGGAGTGTGGTGAGGGCTCAAAAAGGGAGAGAAGAGCCCAAGGGACTATGGTGATGGTCACGGGTGCCCTGTTGGTGGGAGAATTATGAGAACTACACCGAAGGGGAGAAATCAATACAGACGATGTAAGAAAATAAAATAAAACACAATGATTCTTTAAAAATCAAAAACCAACAAACAGTGCTACAGTGACTAGCCTTGTGTAGAATCTTCTCGTGTTCTCCAGGCTCTCTTTTCGACTTAGGCATATTGAGGGGAGGACTGAGAGAAGGAGGAAATTTAAAGCCAGGCCAGAGATGGGCCCGGCCAGAAAGCACAAGTGTGGCCTTCCCACATGATCCTGGAAGCCTAGCTGCACCCCTCCACCTGCTGGCAGCGCGTCCCAAAGCCAGGAGTTAACGCCGAGGACAAGGAGGGCAAGGCAAAGGAACAGCTTCAGGGGTTCAGGGTGATCCGTGTGCCTGGAAACAGAAGCCGATAAAAGGGGAAGACCTGTCCCGGGAAGGAGGTGTGGAAGGTGTAGATGTGCGTGTTCGTGACGGCGTCGTAGAAGACGACCTCCCCGCACTCAAAATCCACGCAGATGCCCACTTTCCTCGGACAGGCGGGGAGGTCCTCCCGGGCGCCAGCCTCCAGGAGAGCCTGGCACTCGGAGCCTGTTATTCTAAGCACCCAAAAGCCGGTCAAGGGGTCTATGACCAGAAAACCCCTCCTGGCGGCTTGTCCCAAGGCCACGCCCACCATGCAGGCCCCGCCCCCGGGCCCATCCAGCTGTGTCTCCCAGGTGTGGCGGCCTCTGGAGAGCCCTGGAAAGCCCAGCACGCAGCGGAATGGGTAGAAGCATTCAGGGTCTGTGGGCTCATCTGAGCTCTCCTGTTGGATGAAATCCAGCGTCGCTGTCTTCAGATCCGGAGAAATGATGAGTTCTGGGTGGGCTGTGACTTCATCAAAGGTCATGGGAACTGCGGGAATATGAGGAGAAAGAGGCTGCTTGGGCCTAGTTGCCCAGTCCCCTCCAGCTAGCTCCTCTGGGTGCAGTTGGAGGGGAGCTTTCTCCTCCTGGTCAACTACCCTCTCCTTCCCCAGAGTACTCCCAGCCCCCACTGCTTGAAGTTATTCGGTATATTTCACCTAGTGCTGCTCTATGGGAGGAGAGAGGAGTGTCCTCTGGGGGTGGAGGGGCAGACAGGGGGCATCATTTCAATTCCCAAAGCTGAATTTATCTCTTTTCCCTTCCGTTCCTGTGGTTCCTGTTTCTCCCATCTAAAACAAGACTTGGAGCTAGCAGAAGGGATGTTGAGACTCAGACTTCCTGAGCTCTGGTCATTTTCAATGTGGATCCCTGAAAGACAGGGAAGAGTGGAAGGTTGGAATACTGAAGGAGGAATAGTCGATTTGGAACACCCCCCACACACACACCTGTTTTTTAATTTGCATTTGGATGTCGAGTTTTTTCAAGACTAGACTGAGGCCCCTGTCCACCCTCTCCCATGGGCTTTAGCAGCCCTAGTTCCAGGTTCCCCTAAGGACTCAGGAAAGGGAACCTAATTTTATCTTCTGATTTGTTATCTAATCATACTCTCTTTTTTAAGATTTGTTTATTTATGTCTACAAGAACAGGGGTGTAGGCCAGAGGTGAGGAGGAGGGGGTGTGTGAGAGGATTCAGCAGAGACAGAGTGGGGAGCAGAACAGGCAGACTGACTGAAATACACTGCTGAGGGGAGCAGCGGGCAGACAGGAGAGGTCTGCTGCGCCATGTGGGTCAAACCTCCCTGGCCCGGAATCGAACTCGTGCTGCAGTGGCTGAGGACAGCCTCACAGTGCTGTGTCTCAACCCCTTGCACCACCAGGGAGGCCCTAAACTCTCTTACTGCAATGTTAATTTTCTCTTGCTGGATAGGCGGGCTTGGAAGGGATGGCCAGGGAGGATACAGGAACGAGGGGGAAAGGAGAGGGCGGTCAGGGTCATGGGAGCGGGTTAGGTGAACTGTGATTCACGCTAGGATTTACCCTCCTCTGGCCCAGCTCTGTCTGCAGTCTAGCCTGAGCTGCCAGAGTCAATGTTGGGGGGATGGGGAGTTGTCCAGGGGAGGCAGCGATAGGAACTTCCTTTATCCACCAGGGGCACCGCAGCCCAAGCAGGAGGAGGAGCCGGGCACAGGCGGGAGCGCGGGGCGTCCCGAGCCACCTTCTCCTCATTTTGCTCAGACACCCGCATCCCCTCTCCAGCTTCACCAGCGCGCGCTCCCCCGGGCTGCACTCACAGAGCGCCTCCTTGAGCTCCGCAGGGCTCCACGCGGTCGGCGTCGCCACTGCTGTTGGGGTTAGGGGAACCAGGGAGGCTCTGCTCCGGGGAGGGACTGGCGGCGCCCGTGTCTGCAATCTGGGGCTGTGTGGAGTTGAAAGGTGGCGGGCCGGTACAGGTGGCCTAGGTGTTTCGCTGCCTTTGAGGGAGAAGGAAAAGAAAAGAGGTCAGTGGGCGCGAGGGGGCGATCATCCTCCATTGCCTCAAAGTGCTGCTGAGCTGGGACGCAGCAGGAGGGATGAAGGTTAGGCTGCAGAAAGCACCCCTGAACCAGTTAGTGGTGTTACTGGGGCGGAGGTATAATTTGGGAAGGAGTAAAGGAATTGGATGGCATGCCCCTGGGCCCACCCTTCTTGCTTGCCCACGCCTCTGGGAAGTCCACAGCCTTTCAGCTGCTTCTCCCAAATGCCTAGTCCTCTTCCTCTTGATTCAGCTTCCTACATTCCTCTTCTTGCTCCATCCCTGTTCCTCTTTATCTCAGGCTGGAACTGAGGGAAGTCATTCAGTCCTGCCTAGCTCTGCTCAGGGAGGATGATATGTGATAGGAAGTGAAGCCTCCTCCCTTCCCTGGCGGCCTCAGCTCCAGTGTTCCTGTCTGTGTTTTGGGTGGAGAGAGCATTTTGCTTACCTGGAGAATCCGAGGTCCCCTCGCTGGAACATGACACAGGAACCCCAAAGACTGAGTATCAGGACCCTGAACTGGAGAGGGTGACTCAGGCTCTGAGGCTTGGTTTGTTTTAGGAGTATTAGTCTCTGACTGGCCATCTATGTCTTAGAGAGAGAAAACCAATTTTGGTACTGATAACCAGAAGCTGCAAATTAAAAACAAAGCCAAAACACTGACACTAAGAACAACAGACAAGGTGCTAGGGAGCACCCCTCCCCTATGGGGAAGAGTGGACACCTTTAGGATTGTTTCAGTGATAGCTGGAGAGGGTTGGGGAAAGTTCTGGCCTTTCTGGGACTCGGGAAGCGAAACATTCAACAGGGAACAAGGCAGGGAGAACAGTGGAGACTTCTTTGCAGACACCAATAGCTCCTCTCCCAGAGAAATGCTCAATCCTAAACCGCACTCTCTGGCTTTGGGATGCATTATGTTCTTTCTGACTTTGGTGGGTGAGTTCTCATGCTGTCTCTTCTCTTAATAGTCACATGATCTGGGTTGATTTACCTCACCTCCCTGGAGATACAGGGACGTGTGTGTGTATCTCTGTATAAACACCTTCCTTGAAGGATAACTTTGGGGCTACAAATATCAGGTGTGAGATATTTAGCAAATAGTGGATCTTTAAGAAATGGTATTTCCAGTGTAACCTCTCAGGTGGCAGAGCCTGGCCTGATAACTTTGGCTTAGGCTGCTGTTAGTGGGTCTCTGTCCCCAGTGGTCCTGACCTCACATCACAGGGGTTTGCCCACATGGCAGCTAATACTGCAGAGACTGAGCAACCTCTGCCTCTTCCCATCCTACCCCTTTCTCCCTTACTCTGAGGAATAAAGAAATACATTTATACTTTTCTATGACTTTTGAATACTTCAAAATTTTGCCAAAAGTCACTGTAACTATGAGCTAACTGACTTCAAATACAAAAAATACCCTTACCCCTGTTCTTCTCAATTGAATGAAGACTAGGCATTCACCCACATCTAACTTTCATATAACTACAGATTGTCCCCCTTTGCTTTTCTCACTTTTCGCAAATGGCAGGAGCAAGCCCCAGTCCCCACTTACATTTCGTTATGTCCTTGTCACTCATGCCTTTCAAAAATTTGCTTCTATCTTTCTCCCCTTCATTCTTGAGATGGTCTGTGGGAAAGAAAGGGATGAATGGAGAAAATCCGGAGTGGTTGAGCAAGAAATCCAGAATTTCATAGCAAGGCACTGATTTGCAGTAACAGAGAAATGGGAACTGGATTTGTCTCATATTCTTAGTGGACAAGAATGTATAAAACACTGAGAGGGCCTCCCGGTGGCACAGCAGTTGAACACTGGGCTGTGAAGCTGCCTGCAGCCTCTGCAACGCCAGTTAGATCCCAGGCCGCTGGTGAGGATACCACATGGCGCGCTGACCTCTCCTGCCGCCCGCTGCTCCCCTCAGCAGTGTATTTCATCAGTCTGTCTGTTCTGTTCCTGCTCTGGCTCTGGTGAATTCTCTCACCCTCCCATGCTTCTGACTGTGCCCAGTGCTTATACAAATAAATAAATAAATAATAAATAAATAAATAATAAATCAAAAAAAAAAAAAAAAAAACACACTGAGATTTCCTCCTTCTGCTTCCCTAAACTGGTTATCTAGCCAGCATTGCCCAGGCAAAATATAATCTCAGCCACGAATACCATAAAATTTTTAGTAGTAGGTACCGCTCCAAAGGGTTCGAAAACACTAATTCAAAAGGAAACCTGAACTCCTATGTTTACAGCAGCATTCTTTACAATAGCCAAGATATGGAAACAACCTACATGCCCAGGACATAAATGGGTCAAGAAGATGTTTTACATATACACGGCGGAATACTACTTAGCAGTCTAAAGGATACCATGCCATTTGTGGCATCGTGGATGGACCCAGAAGGGATTGTTCTACATGAAGTGATCCAGGAGGAGAAAGATAAACACCAGATGGTTTCACATACATGTGGAATCTAGAGGAACTAAACAAAGGATCAGAAAAAGTCACAGTGTAAAACTGGCTCTTGAAAGCAGAGCACAGATCTGAGACAGGAGGGGAGAGGTTAGAGATGGAGGGGAGAAAACACCATGGATTGCGGTGGAAGACTGTGGGCACTTTGGTGGCAGGAAAACTATGGTGATCTCTCCTGAGAGGAGAAATCCTATATAGTGAAAAAGTAAACTAGAATGCTTAAAAAATGAAATAGAAATTTCTAGTAGTCACCTTAAGAACTAGTGAATTTAATATTAATTATAGATTGCATTTCACTCATCTTTTTAAAATAGCAATTTGGAGCTTTTCTTTTTAAAGATTTATTTATTTATACAAGAGCCGGGGTACAGGCCAGAGGTGTGGGAGGGTGAGAAGATTCACCAGAGACAGAGCCAGGAGCAGAACAGGTGGATCTACTGAAATACACTGCTGTGGGGAGCAGTGGACAAGACAGGAGAGGTCTGCCTCACCATGTGGGTATTTCCCTGACTGGCTGGGAATTGAACCCATACTGCAGAGGCTGCAGACCACTTCACAGTGCTGTGCTCAACCCCTGAGCCACCCGGGAGGCCCTTCACTCATTATTTTTTTTGAAGATTTATGTATTTATACAAGAGCTGGGGTACAGGCCAGAGGTGTGGGAGGGTGAGAGACTCCACCAGAAAGAGCCGGGAGCAGAAAAGGTGGATCTACTGAATTACACTGCTGAGGGAAGCAGCCGGCGAGACAGGAGAGGTCTGCTGTGCCATGTGGGTATCTCCCTGGCCGGCAAGGACTCGAACCTGCAATGCAGAGGCTGCGGACAGCTTCACAGAGTCACGCTCAAACTGCTGCACCACTGGGGAGGCCCTCATTCATTATTTTAAAAATGTTTGTGGGAGGAATGAGTAGCGAGGGGTCAACAAGATAGAATGGATGGTAAGTAGAACTTTGGTGTTGGGAATGGCGTGGTATCATACATTGAAGGGGGTGAAGGTGTACTCCTAAAACATATAGTGCTGTAAACCAATCTTACCTAAATAAAAACATAGCATTTCAACATGTAAGACATTCTTATGTTTTACATTCCATTTTCATGTAACTCTTAGAAATTCAATACATGTTCATTGACAGCACGCTTGGATTTGAACGAGCCATGTTCCAAGTGCCCAGCAGCACGTGTGCTAGCGGCCACAAAGTCAGGTGCTAGGATCTAGTTTCTCCCTAGCGACAACAGAGGAGAAGGCACTGAGGACAAAATGTGCTTTGGGTCCTCACTCTTTGGCTTCATAGGAAAGTCTGCTGTGGGGCCTCCCCTGGTGGCCCAGTGGGTTGAGCGCTCAGCTGAGAAGCTGCCTGCAGCCCCTAGAGTGCTGGTTCTTCGCTCCCTGGCCAGATGGCGAAGGTCCCACATGGCACGCAGACCTATCCTGCCGCCCGCTGCTCCCCTCAGCAGTGTATTTGGTCAGTCAGTGTACCTGTTCTGTTCCCCGCTCTGGCTCTGGTGAATTCTCTCACCCTCCCATGCTTCTGACTGTACCCAGTGCTTGTATTAACAGATCTTTAAAAAAAAAAAAAGTTTAACAAAACAAAGAAAAGAAAGTCTGCTGTGGTGCCCAGCTCCCCGCAGCCAGGTATGGTAAGTGAGAGAGAAGGTCTCATTCTCCTAAGGCCTGGATCACAAGTGTACCCTCCCTCCACTTAAATGGGGCTTGAGAGGGGAAAGAGGTGGAGCTCCTGGAGTAGGAGCTTAGGCCCCCATCTCCAGGCACAGAGAAGGAGGACTGTCACTTGCTGCCCCCTGCTGGGAACAGGGCAGGGGACTAGCAAATTTGTGGAGTTGAAGGATGAATCCCACAACCTGGGACAAAGGCTTGGATTTCCTGAGGAAGTGCTGGACTGGGGGAAGATATGTGTGGGGTTTCTAGGTGGGGGGCTACCTTTCGGATCCCTGCACACCCTTACAATGCCCTGCAACTCCAGGAGAGAACAGATTAGCCCTGTGGAGGATACCCAAAGCTCTATGCCACAACCCCACCCCCTTAAACTCTAGCTTCCCAACCCTGGGTAGCACACAGCAACCCTCTTCTGAGGGATCCACATGCTTACAGCCAGAGCAGAGATGCAGAGAAACATTGCCCGGGACACTGTGCCACAAGGCCCTTCAGTATCCAACCACCCCATGTCCACCCTGGTTTCTGGACCCCCAAACAACCCACCCTTCAGACTAGGGAACTATGGAGATTGGGGCAATGGTGTGAGTGCTTTCCCCAGCAAGCCCTCCTCCCTCCTTGCTACAGACTGTAATAGAGTAAGGTGAGAACTGGAGGGGTGAATATCAAGGAGGATTCTTTGATATTCCTAGGAAGGAAACTCCTTTCAGCTGTCTTTTCTCCTGGCTTAGATAAGCACAGCCTTCACAGTTGCGGGGAGGGGTGTCCTTATAAACACAACCCTTATTCCTGTTGCAAGCCCTGACAAGTCTTTGAAAAATATCAGACTGAACATCCTAAAGTGACTTGGGAACCATCCACTTCTGTTGGGGCTGATTTCTGTTTCCCTGCAAAACTGGAAGAGAGATTTCCCCCAGACATCATTGACATTGAATCTATTTTCAATGTCAGAGCTCTAAGCTTGCATGTGAGAAGTACAAACCACTTTTGGGAGATCACACAGACCCTGCCTGGGGTCTCAGGGAAGATAGGCCTGACCTCTCTGATCCACCAGTGGAGCACCAACTTGCAGGCAGCCACTGGGCTACACAAAGGGACCCACTGGGGTAAAAGTTCAGGCTCCCTCACCATCTCCGGGGAGATAACGTGTGGTGAAGACAGAGCAGGAAATGCCTGCCTGGAAGCCCAGAGAAACACGGGAAGGTGCTCCGCAGAGAGCCTGGCATCTGAAAGGTCCTGTGATTATGATCATATGCAGAAATTACAGGTCATATTCCATGCTGGATGGGGGAAGACCCCCAGAGAGGCAAGTTCTTTCTTACCTTTGAATTTCTTCAGGTAACTTGCCAGGTTTTTATGTCTTGATTGTGCATCACTGAGTTTTCTCTCCAGGTGAGAAGGAACAGGGGTTGGACTGAGAAAGGGAAATCCTTCACTCCTGGGAAGATATGATTGTGTGGATGATGGCAAGAGGGGATGGTGGGGAGAATTAGCCATGACAAGAGCTGGGGAGAAGGTGATGAGTCCTGGGGTGGGGAGGCAGTCAGGGGACAGCGAGCTGGGAATCTGGAGGCCAGAACTAGGGTTCTAGGATGGAGTGAGGTAGGCACAGGGAGATATGCAAATGAAGACAGGAGATAAGACAGACAGGAGGAGAGGAGAGAAAGGGGGCAGAGGAAGGGGCCAGCAGTGGTGGGCCCAGGAGCCCCAAAGTTTCAAGGAAACAAGAGAATCTGTACTGAAGAAATAGGAACCTCTAGAAAATAGCTCTTCTCTTTAACAACCAGTCTACTTGCTAATTTGCTCAGCATTGGCCTTTCCTACCTGAAGCTTCAGCACCTGACTGCAAAGGTAGAATGTGTGGGCCTTTGTGAGGGAGGAATGTTGAGTGTATTTGCATACATGTTGAACTTTGTAGGGTAATGAATCAGTAGGTAAAAGGCATTTGGGACGGTCCATCATACCTGCACAGGATAATTTTGATGTTCTGGAAGAGAAAGAGAAATGGAAGCCTTAGTACTTGGTTGATGCACTGGAGCCAAGGAGGAAATGCAGGTGGAGCAGGGCAGGTGCAGTGAGAACACCTTTAAACCCATTCTTTCTTCTCACCTCCCACAGCGGGCTCCTCCAAAAAGTGTCTGATACACCAGGAGGCAGGAAAATGGCCAGACCTCAAGAGGAACTGAGTGATGAGGACGGGAAGAGGAGTGAGATTTTGGAGATGAATTTTTTCCTTGGGCCTAAACTAGAAACAGGAGAGGTAGGAAAGCAGAGGGGCTGGAATGACTTTCCATGATCTTGGATTTCTGAGAGTTCAAATGGATTTCTGAACTAGTGAGAGTGGGAGATGAATTCAGGAGAGACCTCAGCTTATTGGGGGCATTGGCTAGACCCATGCTGTCCAATATGGTAGCCACCAGATCCCTGCGAAATACGATGAGTGTGAGAAGGAACGAAATTTTTAATTTTATTGAATTCTCACTAATTAAAATTAAAATTTAAAACCAGAAGCAGGGAAAACAGTTTTTCCTTTAAATAGACTATATTGATTTGGTAGGACTACGTTTTACTCCAACCATTGAAAATTTAGCATCTTTGAACTGAGATCTGCTGTTGCAAAAAATACACATGGATTTCACAGTCAGTACTGAAAAATGAGACTAAAACATTTCACTAATATATAAGAGATATTGGATAACAGGTTGAAATGATAATGTTTTATATACATTGGGTTATATAAAATATTTTGTATATTTTACAAACAGGTGAAATTTTTCACCTGTTTCTTTTATATTTTTTAATGTGACTTCCAGAAAAAAGTTTAAATGACATATGTGGCTTGCAATATAATTCTAAATTACCTATGTGGCGCTCATATTTCTCAATTATGTTTATTGCTCTCCTGGAGTACTGATTATATTTCTATTGGACAGAACTGGGCCGGGGCTAGGATGGGCAAGGCCAGGTGATCTGCCGGGAAGTCCCTGCTCTGACTCACCACCAGGGCTGGGCTTCTTTTTTCAGCTTGGTCCTGAAGGGCTTACCTTGAGCATCTCTTTGTGTGTGAAATGCTGCCTCTCCATCAGGGAATCAATCTGCAACTTGAGAGAGTTCAGCTGAGTCTCAGAGGCAGTGACATAGACATTCTTCCCGCTATCTCCCTCCTGAGCCAGCCAGTTCATCCTTGACAGGAGGAAATTCTCCTCTTCCTGTAGGGTCTGATACAGCTGCTGGAATTCTTCAGTGATCTTTTGCTTCTCAAGTTCCACCTTAGCCTGGGGGCAGGAAAAATACCCAGAAGATGAGCGGTTGACCTCCAAGGTCCTTCTAGCCCATTTTATTTCATTTTTCAATTTCATTAAGTTTGTACTGAGCACTAATGCGGAACAGTGTATTCTGTGGACAATCTGGAGGAAAGGGACAGTGAGGAACATGAACTTGTTAAAGCACTTCATATGAGCTCAGGTTTAGTTTTAGGTTATTTCTGTTTTATAATTTTTACCTTCAAGCTCCTCAGTATCTAAAAACTGACTACCTAAGTATCTAGTACACACCACATTTCTGAGAACGCTTTTAGTTCATGATCTGGTTCACATGGATTCTTCTCTCCTCTCTCTCTCTCTCTCTCTCTCTCTCTCTCTCTCCCTCTCTCTCTCTCTCTCTCACACACACACACACACACACACACAGAGTACCAGCAGATACTGGTGAAGGAAACTAAGAGCAGGAAATCTAGGACTAGGCAGAACTAACCTCTGACCACTGAACTGTATTCCCTCTTTAGGATTTACCATTAACTGGCTGCAATTGCATTCCATGATGAAATTCTCTGTCCCCCTTGGGTTGGTAGTGGCATCAGAGAGATCTGGTTGCTGAAGGGATTACCCAGCTGGGAAAGAGGAACACCTACACTGCCTGCCTCTTGGACTAGCCCTCTGTGGAGAGAGGGATGGTTAACAAGTCCTACTGCTATGGAAAATTTATCAGCACAGACCAGCGGTGGGGATGGAGCCTTTAGTCATTACAAAGAAACCCCTGTCCTTAGAGATTAACCCAACCAGATCTTAAAAGCGATAGCTTTCACAATAGGCAAAATTCCACAAAGGAATTAAACTCTCCAAAGAACGCGATATAAAGAAGCCCTTTGGTCTGGTAAAACGCAGCTCTCTGCCTTCCTGTGTCTATGCAAGGGCCTCTTTTTTTTGTTTCTTTCTCTTTTTCTGAATAAGGCTGTCCTTCTAAAATACAGCCTTTGTCCTCCCTGGTGGCGCAAGGGGTTAAGACACAACCTATGAAGCTGTCCGCAGCCACTGCAGCACCATTTGGATCCTAGCTGGCTGGGGAGAAACCCACATGGCGCAGCAGACCTCTCCTGTCTTGCCCGCTGGTCTGTGAAGCTGCCAGCAGCCTCTGTAGCGCCTGCTTGATCCCCAGCCACAGGCCAGAGTCCCACATGGCGCGCAGACCTCTCCTGCAGGCCCACTGCTCCCCTCAGCAGTGTGTTTCGTCAGTTTGTCTGTTCTGTTCCCCGTTCTGACTCTGGTGAATTCTGTCACCCTCCCGTGCTTCTGACTGTGCCCAGTGCTTGTATAAATAAATAAACAAACAAACAAACAAACAAACAAACAAATAAATAAATAAATCTTAAGAAAAAAAAAAGAAGAGAGTCTAGTATTTGTAGAGCTGTTTCTCCTTGTAAGATCATAGGACAGAGACACCACTGCCTGAATTTTCCTCACCATGAAGTTGTTGATCTTCTGTTCACCTTGTGGTTTTGCTTGTTTTATCACCATCTCCTTTTGCTTCAAGACCTCGACTTGCAATTGCAGCTTCTCCTGTGGGGAGAGAGTTGTTTTGGCAAACTGGGCCTGGACCCCCTCAGCCCCACAACACCATCCTGCTCCCTCAGGATGCTGGTGATGCTACCAGGTCAATGATTAATAGATCTCTTTTTGCTATTCAAGCTGGGAGATGGGGTGTACTTGGGGAGGGTTAAATCTGAACTAAAGTGACCTATAAGAGAGGAATATTGTCATAAATTATAGCTAATACATTATGACTAATATTTCGAAGGTGTTTTGGAATTATCAAATAACTCCCACAAACTTTCCCTCATTGGCCAACAACTCTTAAAATACACATTTTGCCCATTGGGAAGGTGAGGCACCTGAGGCTCAGAAGGGGAAACTGATTACTTGAAGGTCATTGTAGTGTCTGTGAGAAAACACAGAATCTTCGCAGAGTTTCTCAGACTGTTTTCCACCATGACAGGCGCCCCAGTAGATAATGTTAGCTTTGGGATGTAGCTCGCATGTGAGGGGAGCAGTAAATAACATAGAACCTATGTACAGCTTGCATGCGGGAACACATATTTCTGTAAAGTAGGCTTGAGCTTGATCCTGTGCCGGCTTTGTTCCTAAATCATATAAAGGCTAATAGGACCACTGGTGCTGGCTCAGAACGCAGTGTCCTTTCCACTCTCCAGGATGCCTCAACTCAGACTCAGAGCTCTGAGCCCACAGTACCTGACTGCAAACCGCCTACTCAGTGCAAAGATGGGGTGATGCAGAGGGAGAAAGTGACAGTTTCCTGGTCTCCCGGGGAGACAGAGAACAGACCCTAAATGCCTACCTGATATCTTGGGACAGCCTCTTCTATTAAAAGTACATTGTGGGATTTGTGCTCCTTGGTTTCTTGACACAGCATACAAAGGAGCTTCCCATCAAGATCACAGAAGTAATGGAGTTTCTCCTCGTGTTTCTCGCATCTGTCTTTTTCCTTTTCTGTCGGCATCTCAGAGGGATCCATAGCTTGGACTTTCTCCACCAGATTTACCAACAGCCAGTTGGGCTCGTAGTTCTTCCTCACAGATTTGCCACAGAGGGGACATTTGCTTGATGTTTCTTCTGCAACCCGAGAGATGCATCTGAGGCAGAAATTGTGCCCACAGTCCAGAGTGACGGGGTTCTGCAGAATATCAATACAGATGGGGCAGAGCAGTTCCTCCTTCAGTCTGTCGCTAAACTGTTGACTCGCCATGGTAGGCAGAGGGCTGCTTCAAGTCTGTTGAAATTCTAGAAGTCTCCTCTGGACACTGGTTCTAGGGAGGAGGATATGAAAGTCAAATATTCTACCAGTTAGAGAAGCAGGGAGGGAGGAAATGGGGGTGAGAGAGAGAGAGAGAGACAGAGAGGGAGCGAGAGAGAGAGAGAGAGAGAGAGAGAGAGAGAGAGAGAGAGAGAGAGAATAGAAAAATGATTAGAATGTAAGAAATACTATAAAGAGGGACGCAGATAGGCAATCCTACCTCACTCCTGGAGAACAAATGGATATTGTGAATGGATATGTGCTTCTCATAAAGCAGAGTAAGTTGTCCTGAACCTTGAACTAATTAAGAATATGTTTATAAGAGATTTAACTGAGATCAGAAGGGCCAGGGCACCAAAGTCTGCTCAGAAGTTGGGCTGGGGGGCGTGGTAGGGGTTGGGGATACTTCCTGAAAGCTCACAGCTTGAAGTGCTTTTGGCATGTCTTGTAGGCAGAGCCCAAATCTTGGGAGAGAAAGGAGGAGATGATTCTCTACCACAGGTACTTTGGCACCATGCTCTGAAGGGGTGAAGCCGCAACATTATCACCACTAAGGCCTGAGTCCTGAGTTCGATCCCCAGTCAGGGAGCTGACCCACATGGCGCACCAGACCTCTCCTGTCTCACCCTCTGCTCCCCTCAGCAGTGTATTTCAGTAGATGCGCCTGTTCTGCTGCTCACTCTATCTCTGGTGGATCCTCTCATCCTCCTGTACCTCTGGCCTACACCCTAGTTCTTCAAAGCTAAAAATACAAAATAAAGACTGCTCAGAGGAAAGTTGTTTAAAGATTGTGGACAATATAATCACCACCTCGGGGAGTTGCCAGCTATACTGAGAAGTAGCCATTGCACGCTTACTGGGGATTGCTAGGACAGTGGGAGACACAAGGAGCTTCCTCTCTGAAAGGACAATATCTCATTTTGTCCATTTTTCTTGACACTGCCGCATCTTACACTTGCCCGAAGCACTGCTGACAGTCTGTCCTCTTGGATTTCCCCCCTGTATGAAATCAGTACCCTGGTGTCTACATGCTCTTTCTTTGTTTGGCTTGTGTCTCTTCCAAATTCTCTGACCCCAGACTTGACTTCCCTTGACTTTTGTCCTGACTAGGAAAATATTAACCAGCATCACCTATGGTTCTTTCTGTAGCTCAACACATCTACCTTCCTCCTCCCCCTTGTATTAAAGAAGTGTCCTTCTGTTACAGGACAGGGAGTAGGGCACCCCAGGACCCCCAAATCTGATGGCTCTAAATAGGTTCTGCCATCCACCACATCAGGACAATATATATAAATCTTCAATGGAAAAGAACATTAATACAATTAGTGTGCGATACAGAAAAGACAAAGAATATAGTTTCAAATTAAGCATCCAAAGTTACCATCCTCCCATGAATAAAAGTCCATCAAAACGGGATTGAGCAAGACCCAAAAGCCTGACACAAGCCTAAATCACCTCCCAGCGGGGATACATAGAAAAGGGTCAGAAAGAGTCAGACAAGTCTGGGAGGAAAAGTGCAAAATCAAAACCACGATAAAAGCTGCCATTGTTGGGCCTTCCTTGTGCTGGGACTAAAGACAGTGCTATCAAGCTATCACCAGCCGCTATAACACTAGTTCAGTCCAGTCACTGCAGCACGGGTTCGATCCTGTCTGGCCAGGGAATAGCACACATGGAGCAGCAGATCTCTCCTGCTTCACCCACCACTCCCCTCAGTAGATCTGCCTGTTCGGCTCCCCACTTTCTCTGGTGAATCCTCTCACCGCCTGCACCTCTGGCTTACATCCCAGTTCTTGTATGTCTAAATAAATGAATCTTTGGAAAAAACAAAGCTGTCATTATTAACCTCCCCCATAGGTCTCTCACCCACATCTGTTTCAACCAGTCCAAGACTGAGAAGCAAGTGCAATTTCTTCACATATCTCTCTGCTCCATGTGCCTCCTGCTGGTCTCCTTCTTGCTCTCTATCCTGCTTCCTTCCTTCTCCAGCTCCTCTCCAGCTTCTTCTCTTCCCGGCTCAGCTCCACCCAGCTTTGGGTGGGACAGGGAACCTGGAACCTCCCCTTTTCCTGGGGACCACCTGTTACACTTCCTGTCTTTCCATTTCATCTGGATCCCACTTCAACCCTTACCTCCCCTAGCTCTAGTTCCTGACATCTGACACCAACAAGCAGACCATTAATTTTATCTGAACTTAATCTTAGGCCAAACGGGGATTCTAGATAATTGTATGATTATAGTCAGACTAATCACACATGCTGGTTTTCCTGGGACAGTCCCTGTTTCACCTTTGTCCTGGTGTAATTAATAGCATATCCTTTCATCTCAAAAGTGTCCAGATTGGATAACAAATTATATGGGTATTGTACTATGATATTGTGATTTGTAGAAATATGTCTGTTTCATCATTCAGATGACTGAAATATATTTCTCATATAAATCCATAGTTCTGGTTCATGGCTCCCTTTGGAATTTCTTAAGTGTTGAGAGTGTTATGTTAGTGAAGGTAACTTTTGGAATATAACTGAGGATACATGAGGGCTACTAGGGAAACCAACCTGAATAGAGATGGGCACTTCCTGCCCCCACTACCCTGGCCTCTAGGGAGAAGAGGGGACCCAGAGATTGAGTTTGGTTGCTGATAGCCAACGAGTAAACTCAGCCTTGCCTATGTAATGAAGCCTCATATAAGTCCAAGAGGCGGTCTTCAGAGAGCTTCCCAGTTGGTGAAGTTGTGAAGATTTGGGGGAGAACGGCTCACCTGGAGGGGGGCACAGAAGCTCAGTGCCTTTCTCCCACACCTTGTCCTGTGCACCTCTTCCAATGGGTCACTGATTTGTACCTTTGATATCCTGTTGGAGACCCCCGGAACCTGCAGTGCTGAGACAAGAGGGTCATTGAGGTCGTGACCAGAACGCTGGTCCGCGTGGGCTAGAAAGCTGGCCCATGTGCAGATCACGATGTCCTTCCATGGATCAGCAAAACTGAGCATGAGAAAAGAACAATTTGATTATGCAAAACCTTGGCAATGAATGTGTGCCAGAAATATGCTGTATCTCTGCTTGTCCTGTATCCTACTTTGTAATCAAACTGTGCTTTGGTGTTCCTGCTAATAAAGTCTGCAGAGGAGAGCAAAGCACATCTTGAATCTCTCTCCCTAGCTGCCCTTCCAATCTTCTCAAGACTCATGCCCTCATCCTTTTGCCTGGGCTATCCATGACAAGTGGTGCCCGAACAGGGACTTGAACCCTGGACCCTCAGATTGGATTCAGTGTCTCAGTAAGTAGTTGGGCAATCCTTGGGCCATTTTTAGGTGGCGACTGGCTGCCAAGGGAATTCTAAGGTTGGGAAACAAACAGGGTAGAAATGAGAATTGAAAACATTTAAATAGCCTGGTAAAAGGCCCCAGACCCAAAGTCTGTGACGTTTTTAATTCAATCTTTCCTAACTTCTTCTTCCAAATCAGCCTGATTACAGGCCCTAAAGACCCAGTATTGCAGACACAGTGTCTGCAACAAAGCAGTAAAAAACTGTTTTCAGTTGTGACTTTCTTTTGTCTCTTAGAAATAAGAGTAATAATTTCACCCCCCTTCAAACAATTATAAAGAAAACTTAGAGCTCTTCCACTAACCCAGGGATATGATGTGTCTGATAAAGAGCTCTCTATAAAGACAATTTTGTATCTCTTTAAAGACAGTTAAGACCTCTTGTAAAAAATTCCTCAAGAAAAAATCTTAAATTTAAAAAATTGAGAAAATTCATGAAGACACAAAGAGGCTTAGAGGCAACACCTGTCTCTCATTTTAAATTGTGGAATTTAAGTAATTCGGCTATTCATCACTAGATGAAAAAGTTTTTAATCCAAAAGAACCAGGCCATGACTCAGCCAGTGCTTCCCCTTCTCTTCCCACTCACCCTTCCCCTCCCTGAGATGCAGCCGAGACCCAAAAGTGAGACAACTGTCTCCAACATATTTCAAGCCCCTCATAAAAAAAGTTTCATGAAAAACAATCAGAGGGAGAAATGCTTCAAGCTTTTCCAGTTATCTGAGGAGGAGGCCAAAGTCCCCGACACCAGGGTTTTGCCATTTGCTGTTTTTAAGAAATTTAAAGTATTTCTAAAAATAATAATCAAAGATCATTTACAAAAACTTTGTTAAGGTTATCGGATATGGGTATAATAGGACTACATGAGACTCAAAGAATCTTCTCACAACAGTACCAACCCACTGGGGCAGGCTGGTAGGGGACTGCCCTGGTCTCAACAAGCAGCAGCTACCTGGACCTTGGCTCCAGCATTAGAATCATTGACATGTCTCTTCTGCCTTCCAGCTGTGATAAACTGGACTCTCCTTTTGTCAACCTTGAGATTCTATTGGGGTTGTTCTATAGGTAAAAAATTCTATTTCCCTGTGTTTCCTACAAAATGCTTATTGGTTCAGTAAAAATTTCTAAATTGCTTATTGGGCCTGTAAAAATTTAAGTTTCTTGTTAAAGCTAATTAACATGGTAAAAAATATAAAGTGAAAATACAACTTTTTGGACTAAATTCCCAACCTCAGATTTTAATAAAAGTCTAAAAACTGTGAGATCTTAATCTACCCCTTCTCCTGTCATCAGAAAAAAAGTGTTTTCTTTTGTTTTTTTTTTTTTTTTGTCTTAAAAATGTACTCATTCTCAGTGAGATAAAACAAAAACGGTGTAAAGCCAAGGGATTTATTCTTAAAATACAAACTCAGAAATGTTTTCTTATCTAAAAAGTTAGTGAAAACTGCTTGACTTTAAAATTGTTGTGGTCATAAACCCTAGGTCTTTAGTAATGACTTTTTTTTAAACATTAATTTATTCCTCAAATCCCTATCCGGGATCTGCTGAATATGGCCTTTGAAGAACTGGGGTAATGATTAAGATTGGATATTTATTCTATGTGAACAGTCAATGCAGGGGCCAGGA